AATCCAGTCATTCTGGAGTGGAACCACAGTCGATGGCTCCACTCCAAACCAACAGATACAGATATAATGCCGGAAAAAAAATCCCCCCCCAGTACCAACAATACCCCCAGTCCGAAAACATTCTTCTTTGCAAAATTACAGGGTCTAAAGCCAGCAATAAACAACAAAATACCTTTATCCGTGGACTGCTTGCAGAGGCAAAGGCAATGTTCGCGGCTTTCACTGAGACCCACATAAAGGATCACTTGGGACAACGAAATATGGACCCCAGGTTACAACCTATACAGATGTGACAGAGTGAACAGGAAAAAGGGGGGGGGTTGGCCTGTACATTGCAGAGCCCTTGTTTGCACAGAACTGCTTAATGCCTCAAATGACGTAGTGGAATTTTTAGCAGTAAAGGTCGAGAACCAAAACCTAGTCATTGTGGTAGTCTACAAGCCTCCGGATGCAACATCCCAGCAATTCCAGGAACAGCTGTTAAAAATTGACCATGTCTGGAAAATCTTCCCAGCCCCTGCACCCAACATCTTGCTCCTGGGGGATTTCAACTTAAGGCACCAAAATGGAGGAATATAGCAAAAATATTGTTGCAGTAATAACACCAGGAGGCAGCTCTGATGAAAACTCACACTCACACGAGCTTTTAAATCTCTGCACAAAATTAAATTAAACCAGCAAATAATAGAGCCTCTAGACTGGAGAATACACTAGACCTCATCTTCACTAACAATGATGATCTGATAAGAAATGTACCATATCAAAAAAATATACTCAGATCACAACTAATTGAGGTTCAGACATGTTTTGCGTGGAGCCCCAGACCGACAAATGAGACTAGTCATGAGGGAGCATTCACCAAATTCAACTTCAATAACAAAAACATAAAGTGGGACCAAGTAAACCAAGTCCTAACCGATATAAGCTGGGAAGATATACTAAGCAACACAGACCCAAACTTATGCCTAGAACAGATTAAACTCGGTGGCACTCGATGTATGCACAAGGCTTATTCCTCTAAAAAAAAGGAGGAGTAGATGTAAAATGAAAGAGACAGGCGCTCCCTTTACAGGCGACGGAAAGAATAACAGAGCGGCTAAAAAGAGGTCAATATATCAAAAATGCGCAGGGAGACACTGGTCAGAGAAATGCAAGCATCGAACTTAAGCTAAAAGAATCCTTTAGGAGTCAGGAATCGCGGGAAGAACTAAAAGCCATAATGAAATCGAAAGAAACCCAAAGTATTTTTTTCTCCTATGCCAAATCAAAATCGGAACAAGTCCAGTATTGGGCCCCTACTTAAACAAGATGGGTCCTACACAGATGACAGCAAGGAAAAATGAGTGAGCTACTCAAATCCCAAAATGACTCAGTTTTTTGCAAGCCGCTAACCAGACTGAGAGTCGAAGATCAAAATGAATTTTTTATGAGAGGCCACAAAATTTGATTAACCCCAAGCCTATCGATGTTATCCTGACGCCAAATGACTTCGAACAGGCGATAAAGACATGCCCATGCACTCTGCCCCAGGGGCCCGACTCAGGAACTCTGTGTTCATACCCAAAAACAGCAAGAAGCCCCTATCCCGAGCCTTTTCCATCCTATGGGGAGGGAGCATGGACACGGGGGTCGTTCCCCCAGTTACTAAAAACAACAGACATCAGCCCCACTCCACAAAGGGGGCAGTAAAGCAACAGCAAAGAACTACAGACCAATTGCACTAACATCCCATATCATAAAAATCTTTGAAAGGGTCCTAAGAAGCAAGGGTCACCACCCTTCTAGAAAACCCATCAGTTACACAACCCAGGCAACATGGGTTTAGAACAGGTCGCTCCGTCTGTCTCAACTACTGGATCATACGACAAGGTCCTAAAAGCACTAGAAGAAAAAAAAGAATGCAGATGTAATATATACAGACTTTGCAAAAGCCTTCGACAAGTGTGACCATGCGTAATAGCGCACAAAATGCGCGCTAAAGGAATAACAGGAAAAGTTGGTCGATGGATCTATAATTTCCTCACTAACAGAACACAGAGA